CCAGCGCTGCGCACCAGCTTGAGGTCACGGTTCGGGCTCCTGCAGGCGTCCACCATGACCAGGTTCATGGGGCAGCCCTGCTCCTCCATCTTGCTGATGACAGTCTCAATGGCATAGCCATGCTTCTCGGCTGCCTGCAGCAGCAGCAACCACAGCAGCAGCAGTTGAGGTGGCATAACAACTTGACATGTGACAGGAACAAGAACTTCCACCTGACATGGTTTGTATGAGCCGCTCCTGTGCATGGCAGCACTCGCTTTACAAAATCTATCAATGCAACAGCTTACACTGTTTGTTAGACTGATCAGTCCAGCCCTGCAAGCATCAACTTGGTGCACTGACTGCTCCTGGGCCATGCACCTGGCCCGTGTCATCAATGAGCTGTACACCATTGCTGCTGGAGCATTATGAACAAGGAAAACGTGTGCAAAACTAGGTTTCAGTTTTTTTGGTTTGAAACGCAGGATGACCCTCCAGCACGTGTGGTAGGATGACAGTCATCTTTGAAGATCTCGTCCAAGTGCAACTCCGATCTCCTGTCCATCGGCATAAAATTTTGCTCCTGGCTGACGCACTGACGGATCGCTTGTTGTCAAAGAATGCTTGTTGTTGCATGCATAGAACCTGCACCAACTGGAGCGCAATGCATGCAGCTACATGCACTACTCACCAAGGCAAAGCCGCCCTTAGCGTAGTCCTCCCAGCACGTGGCCATCATGAAGTGTTTGCCGACCAGGTCCTCACGGTTGCTGTCCATGCAGATGGCACCATGCCCCGCGTAGAAGAAGATGGCCAACTTGGTCTGCTTGGTGGTTCTTCTGGTAGCAGAACTTGTCCACGCTGTCCCTCAGCTCAGTGATTGTTGGATCTGTCAGCAGCATCACGCCGGATCCTCTGCCCAGCAGGGCTGATCCCAGATCTTGTGCATCCTTTGCTGCGTTCTTGAGCGGGGATGACTTGTACTTGGACACGCCTATGCACAGTGCCACGACCTGCGGGGCAAAAAATGCAGCCCCCAAGTGCAAAGCTGGCAAGAAAACACAGAAATGTGTTGACATGGCTGGCATGGTGGCTGCAGCAGTAGGAAGAACAAGGTGGTGCATGACCAGCTGCAATTGGGTAGGTGTGCATTGCTGTAAATGATACAATCAAACCTGAACGGGTGAGACTTTACAAATGCAATGTCCATGATAGCGCAGCATACCTGGGCAGCGTTTGCAGAGTGAGGCTGTAGGGCAGGCGCCAGAGTGTGGCTGCCTTGAAGGGGCATTTCTGGCTTTGGCTTTGGTACTGGTGCTGGTTTAGGAGGTGCTGCTGCTGGCTTGGGCTGTGCTGCCCAAAACTGAGGTGCTGCTGGTTTTGGCTGCAGTGTTGCTGGCATCTTGTCCTGCGCAAGCAGCACACACCACCGCTGGTGCATTCAGCACCGAAACTGCGATGGTCTGAGGCAGTTTGGAAGTTGCAAACACACATGCTGGCGGCGTGTGGGTTGCAGCGGCAGGGAAACAACCTGCATGTGCTTTGTGACGAGCAGGTTTTCCTGACGAGAAGGTGGACGAGAAGGTGACGAGAAGGAGTAGGTTTTTCTGAACCTGAACCTTGTCACTCAGCAGCAGCAGAAGGAGCAGCAGCAGCAGCCGAATCCAGCTTGCAGAGCCTTCAGCGGAAGTATGTGGCAACAGCACACCTACAAAGCGAGCTGAGCAACCAGTAGCAGCTGCAGCAACCCATCCTGTGCAAGTTGGAAAGAGGTTGCGTACGCGTGCGCTGTGCCTGCCTTGCTCGGCAGTTGCGCTGCACCCCAAAACTGCCAAACGCATCTAGGAGTTGACATCAGCAGTTGCTGCGCCTCTGCCACAACCTCGGGCAGCTTCAGCTGCTTGCTCTCTATCACACAAGCACTTCCTGCCTGAACACCAGACAGTAAAATCAGCAGCTTGTCTTTCAGCGTCTATGCTTACATCCATCACACTGCAGTGAAAGCAGGCCCCGCACCTTCCCCTGTGCTGCTGCTGCTGCATCCCCGGGCGGCTCCAGCTGCTTGGTTTCCAGCGCCTTCCTGACCATGGCCTGATCCTCCGCCCTCAGCTTACTGAAGCCGATCAGCCTGTCTGTGCTGTCAATCTTTGTTAAAAGATAAGCAAGGGCGCAGCGCCTGTGAGACAGCAGGTGGGAGGATTCATTGTGTGAAGGACACGCAACAGCACGGCTGTCAGACAAGTGTTAGCTGTGATGGGTGAAGACAGGCGACAAGACAAGTCGCTAGATATATCACTAAATCGTGAGCTGTCGATCAGGTCTAGCACAGTGGCAGCACTGCAGGACAACAAGGATGGACAAGCAACAAGGGCGCTTGCAGGACCATGTGCTGGCATTGATGGCCAGCACAGCGGCAGAGGTGACCACATGCCACTTTCCGACACAAAAGCAGTGGTGCAGCGACTTCCGGACAGCAGATTGCGGAGCAAGACAAGTTGAGTTGTGTTGAGGAATGTACAAGCAACAAGAGCACTTGCAGGACCACGTGTTGGCATTAATTGCCAGCACAGCAGCGGAGGTGCAGGGCCTGCAAGACAGATGGTTGCATGATGCAAGGAATGTAACAGTGAAAGAACCAGTGAAAGAGGTTTCATGGCAAGAATGGTAGGAAAGCTGGCAGGACTGCATAGAAAAGCAGAGATGCAGTCAAGCAGGCATGTGCTGTGTTGAAAGGGTGGCCACAGAGGCGGGAATGCTCTTGCAAGCCAGCAATAGCACCAGCAGATGCAGACAGCTCAAAGGTGCGCCTGGCCTGAAAAGCGCGCACATGATGCAGGCGTGCACGTGGTGTACGCAGTCTGCATTCATGTGCTGCATTCTTTTGAAAGCGCAAAGACATAGTACTGTTAACTGACAGGCACAACAGCCATAATCATTAAGCTGGGGGGGGGGGCAGCTACGCCAGATATGCTGATCCTTAGCACATGCTGCTGCTGTGTCACTGCCACATAGCACTGCTGCTTGCAGCTTCTGCTGGCACATGAGGCAGCAAAGTACCACCACGCATGCACCCTTTCAAGCAGAGTATCCACATGAACCGGTCTCCTGATATACAAGGAGGCTGCAACATCAGCTGCTAATGTTGCAGCTGCTGCAGGGGGGCCTCAAAGGCGTGTGCACACACAGCGCTGTTGTGTGCTCACCAGTGCATGTGTACATCCACAGAAATACCCCTGAGCCACAGTTGCAGCTCTCCTGCAAGCATGGTACAGCAGCAGCACGCCGCACACTGCTGTGAAAGACATCACAAAAGGCGTGCGTATGTTTGTGCAGCTGCAGGCAGGCATGGCTGAGCTCCTGTGGCAGCTGGTTTGCTGCTCACTTAGCAATGCAGACGTACTACTCCTAGCAGGTACTGGTGTTTGACAGGCCCATCTGGGTATTAGAGCGTAAAGTGTGCTGCTGCATGTGGATTGTGTTGAATTGAAGATACTGCCAGCCCTGCAACCACGCTTTTGTAACACCATGTATGTGCAAAGATTCAGCTGTGAAGGAGGCACTGTGCAGCAGTAACACAAAAGCATAGTTCAAGCATCGCCAAGTGGGTGCTTATGCACAGGCAGTCAAGACGGGCACTGCTGAGCTACATGCTGTGCAGCTGCCCATGGGCACAGCTCTTTTGTATTGCTGACTTGCAGCCTGCAGCACAGTGGTGTGGCTTGCTGTTTTGAAAAAGCTACTTGCATCTCTACAGTGCAGCCGGGTGAAGTTTAGCAAAAAGGAGTTGGGACAGGGTGCGCACCCTGCTTGCAGTCATGCCATGATGGCAGTGCACAGGAGTATCTGTGCTTCAACCTCTTATGTCCATCGTCTGCACAGCAAACCCACCCAGATGCTCAGAACAGCCGCCCATCTTACCTTTTGCAATGATTGGGTTTGTGGAACCCGCCTCACAGGTTCCCTCGAGGCCCTTGCACGCTGTGCATGGGCTCATGCCATATGGGCAGCAGGCTCTGTCACTCCTGTGCATGCGCATCATGCATGAGGCTCTGTCACTCCTGCATATGTAGTGCAACCAGAGGCGTGTTGTGAGAGGTCACTTGCACAACACCAAGGTTGATCACAGCCCCACCAAACACTCAACGCACGTCGCGTACGAGATATGGTAAAAGTTCAAGCTGGCCATGGTGCTCGAGGCGCTGCGCGTCTAGAGCAAGTTCCTTGTTACGTAATCCCTTTTAGTTTCGGCGGGAAAGTAGTATCATATGGCTTGTTGTGTTTATACAATAGTTTTCAACAGTGTATCTGCGCAAGGAGAGCAAGACAACACTTCTGTCATTTGCTCATGTTCACGAGCAGCTGTTGTTTCGCATACGGCTGCGGTAGACCGTTTTGCGGCTTTTCACCGCGTTTTGTATCCTTGCTGTAGCAAATGTGTCCTACTGGAGCTTCCAAGCTGCACTAGCAATGTTTGCTCTGGCACACTAACTATAAGGCTACAGCGCTCGCTACAGCCTGACAATATCTCGAACTGAATGGTCACTACCGCACACCAAACACCGCTATCAGAACTGCGACCGCGCTGATAAGGCCTGCATATCGCCGCGTTTAATGCCGAGCGCCCAGTTAGCAGCGCAGCTTCCAGCGCCGCCAATTCCTCCTCTCTCCTAGGACCCTTTCCCGACTGACGGGTTTACGGCGTTTTCTTAAGACAACCAGCTTGCTGTCAACTTACAATGTTTCCCCGCACAGCAAACATGTGCACTGGCGCCTTCAATGTCATTCAACATCAGTCACTGATGAGTGCATATATATATATAGACTCTATCACCCCCATTACAGGGGAGCATTAGCTTTTTATCCGTCATCCTCTGCCCACTATAGGTTAGCTTGGATTGCTCCAAACCCATATATATATATATATATATATATATATATATATATATATATATATATATATATATATATATATATATATATTATAAATACAGATTTAATTTAATCTAAATTAATTGAATAATGGAAGTATGGCCGAGTGGTTTAAAGCGTTGGCTTGCTAAGCCATTGTGTTTTTTAAAAGCACCGGAGGTTCGAATCCTTCTACTTCCGTAACAATTTTTGTGATTTTACTATCAAAAATAAGATTTTTAGCCTATTGAATCTAGTCGTCAATTGCTTTTGTGGTGGGGTTTTTTTTAGGCTTTTGCTGTAAAAGTTCCTTTGATGCCATTGCATCTGTGGTAGCCTGAAGCTCACGTTGAGAGCCTCAAAATACTCATAGTCAATCTTTTTATAGATTGTAGTTGGCTTTGGAAAGTTTTTTGTTTAGGTGTTTTTGTAGTTTATATATATATATATATATATATATATACTAGCGTAAACCCGTGGCATGATGCCACGGACCCCCCCCAAGGCACCTTTGGTGTGAGATAGGTTACATCGGTGGAGGGCATCCCCACTTCAGCGGTTGGGCCCATGCACTACTAACAGTGCACAACATACATACATAATGATCCACTACAGGCATCCCCACGTCAGTGGTTGGGCCTTACTTCACAGAACTTCACGATAAACCACATTGACAGTGTACAATCCTTCAGGCACGTTCTGAACGTCCCCCGCGTTCACCCAACCCCCTTCCACCAACACACGCACAGCTTGCCTATGACCAACACGGGACAATGCGACATACAGCTGCCCATGGCTGAACACAGCCTTTGGCAAGTACAGCCCCACCATCCTCAAGGTTTGGCCTTGAGACTTATTCACGGTCATAGCAAATGCAGGCCTAACAGGAAACTGCACCCTTCGTAACGTGAACGGCATGCTTGAGTCTGAGGGTGTGATGGCAAGACGTGGTATGCACACAACCTTGCCCTTTGCAGGACCAGTGGCCACCTCAGCCTCAATCACACGATTCCCCAACCTTTTGACAATCAACCGCGTGCCATTGGCAAGGCCATCTGTCAGGTTTCTCAACAACATGATTGGGCACCCCACACGCAGTACCAGCTTGTGAGGTGGCACCCCAGAGAAGTTCAAGCTATTCAGAAACTCAGTTGGGTACATCCCCCTCTGCGCATCATCTGCAATGCTGTCAGCACTCAAGTACTCCCGCTGTTCTGCATTTCCATCAAAAGTTGACATCCAGTCCATCATTTGCATGTCGATGCCATCAACATGCTCATTCAAGGGCGTCAATATGGCTGACTGGGTTCCTGCAGCAGGAGTGGGTGGTGCCTGAGCACGTGCTGTAGCGGACCGACGCTTGTGCGCCTTGGCAGCAGCAGCTTGCTTTTTGGCAGCTGCAGCCTGCTGTGCTTGGGTTTCCCTGAGGCGCTGCTGTCTGGCATTAAACTGAGCACGTCGCCGTTCTGCAGCTGCTGCAAGCAAAGGGTCTGGTGGTTGCGGCTGCATGTGTTGCACAAACTGTTGCTGCAGTCTGGAGAATGCTCCGGCTCCTGATGCGTCCCCTGAAGTGAGTCTGCTCGCGACTGGATCAACGATTGGCGATAAAGAAGCTGCAGCACGCGAAGATCACACCATCAGAGGCTGGATGTGACAGTGGAACTGACCGATGCTGGAACTGTTGCCCTGTTTCACCGGCGCTCACCTGCATCGACCCGCGCTTCATTTGTGTTTTGCCTCTGTTGTTTTCGATCATGATGTTGCTGCTGTAGTGTTCCTGGCGTAAGGTCCATGCAAGAACGCGTGGCTGCATGCTGCTGCCGGCTCAGGTGCTTGCGAGTGTTTTCATGGTCTTTCTTTGAGAACGCTTGAGAGTGTTTGAGTGTTGGTATTGAACCTTTTGCGGTCTGATACTGCACACGCTGAGCATAACACTCTCACACAACCTCACTCTTGTTGACATCGTCATGCGCCACCTGATGCCGTCGACGCTCGCTGAGGTTGTAGATTATCGCAAGACAAACCGTTTGAGGGGGGAGGACATGGGGTTTCATTGCGCCGTTTGCGAGAAAAAGCCCTTGAAAGGGGCTACACCAGCCTTTTCTCCGAACAGGGGCAGCTACTTGCCCTCAAGCTTCGGCAAACGCCTTTACTAATTTACATCAATACATTGATAGGGTGCCTGTGGCTTGCAGCTGCCTGGCTTGTTCCAAACAGGGGTCCACCCTATTCTTTTAATATGTAGGATATATATATATCCTACATAATATGTAGGATATATATATATATATACATAATATGTAGGATATATATATATATATAATATGTAGGATATATATATATATATATATATATATATATATATATATATATATATATATATATATATATATATATATATATATATATATATATATATATATATATACATATATACCAAAGTTACCAAAGTAGGGCCACTGGCCCACCCACTAAGGAGGCAAACAAGGCTCATGGGGTCCAAAATGTCTCTCCACAAGCAAAGAGGAAAGGGAGCGACCTCGAGGCCAAGCATGCACAAGCAGCCAACTTACAGTATAGCATAGCGATAAATCCATGCGAAAGGGCACAATCTGGTAGCAGCACAGGTGGCACGGTGAACCACGCAACAAACCATGGTGGGGATCGTGGCCCTCCTCTGTGGGGGCAGCATACTCCTCAAACAAAAGCACCACCGAGAAACAAATATGGATGTCAGCATGGCCCAGGTGGCATCAATATGCAGCATTATGCGCGCCCGCAAACTCCGCAAGGTCCAAGACAACCTTTTTTAAAGTGGCAAACTGGTGAAATCTCAATCATACTCAGGATGCTGACAAAAGCAGCACTACAAGCAAATGCAAGAAGGTTGCTGTGACATCGATGCTATGACTTCACATAAACGCAGCACTCGCCAGGGCAGCAACAAGCGTCGGCGCACTACTGCAGACAGACTATGTGGCTTGATACACATACATGTGCTCAGATCAACCCCAACCCAAGCATGCTGCGTAGCTGCACCCATGCAGCTGTAACTGCCCAACAGAATGGCTGAACATGCAGTGTTCGGCAGTAGATCATCACAATCCAGGTCTGAAATCCACAATCAGCATGTAAGAGGGTCGCCGTTGCCCTTGCTGCTACTGCTGCTGATAAATCCATGCGAACTCCGCAACAACGCGAAAGGGTTTGCAAGGGTTTGCAAGGGTTTGAAAGGGCGCAATATCTGGTAGCAGCACAGGTGGCACGGTGAACCACGCAACAAACCATGGTGGGGATCGTGCCCCTCCTCTGTGGGGGCAGCATACTCCTCAAACAAAAGCACCACCGAGAAACAAATATGGATGTCAGCATGGCCCAGGTGGTATCAAAATGCAACATTATGCACAAACTCCGCAAGGTCCATGGGCAACCTTTTCTAAAGTGGCAAACTGGTGAAGTCTCAATCATACTCAGGATGCTGACAAACGCAGCACTACAAGCACAAGTGCAAGAAGATTGCTGTGACAACGATGCTATGACATCACATAAACGCAACACCCGCCAGGGCAGCAACAAGCGTCGGCGCACTACTGCAGACAGACAATATACCTTGATACACATGCGTGCGCAGCTCTCTACCTGATGCTTCCTGGACGCAGAAGGGCCGGTGCCCCTGAAGCTCATCATTTTGGACCGCTGCTCTCTACATGCCGTCAGCGTCAATTCAATTGACTGTAAGTTACAGTGGGTGATCAGCAGTACGTGCGTACTACAGCAAACGCAGCGCCAGCAGCAGTTGCTCCATGCATGTGGGTGGGTGGTGGGCATTTGGCATGTACTGAATGCTAGTGCCGTCTCCTTTCACATACCGGTACCGGTACATGTGCTCTGATCAGATCAACCCCAACCCAAGCATGCTGCGTAGGCGCACCCATCCAGCTGTACCTGCCCAACAGAATGGCTTACATATGGCGCTGATGCTATGGCTTGAATGGGTAATATGATGATGATGATGAGAATGGCTTACATATTGCCATTACCATGCGGTGTGCCGCAGAGTACCACTTGTTGAACCTGAGTTGCTGCAGTGTCCAAACCCGTAGCAGCTTGCCGCCAGCTGCACTACATGCAGTGCGTGTCCACGCACTGGCTGCCAGGGCCGGGCCGTGTCTTCACCATGAAGCTCCGGCTGAGGCCATGTCTTCACCGTGAAGCTCCGGCTGAGGCCATGTCTTCATCGTGAAGCTCCGGTAGAGAGTCTTCACCTTGCACGGCGACGCTACTGCCACACTCACGAGTGCCAGACATGTGCAGCAGACATGTGTCACACGGTGGACATCGTTGGTGCATTTTGAAGTGCCGTGCCGTTTGCGGAGCGTGACCTGCGCTGCTGGGGTCCCAACCAAACAACCTCTGGTTGCTCATCATCATCATCATCATCATCATCATCATCATCATCTTACCCAATCAGGCCATGGCATCCACGCCCTCCATGATCAGCTACGTATGCACGCCCCACAGGCGCGGACGGAAAAGGGAGCACACCTCCATGGTGCTTGAACGCATTGCGCAAACCTCTGGTTGCTGATGCGGAATGCGCCAATACTTGAGGCAGAGCCGGCCTGGTTGCCGCGTAGTGCCTTGTCGTTCATGCCACAGGTTCACACGTCAAGTTTACGGCCGCGGCACTAGCATGCATGACACTGCCACGATGTGAGCGCCCCACGCCGCCACCCCCTGCACCAAGCACGGACTACTAGCAGTCAGGGCGAGCACTACACAATGCCCTCACGACATCTTCCACATGATGAAACATCCACATGATGTGAGGCCACATGTAGCTGACGATGTGGCATCACATCATGTTGGTGCGGCGCCACTTCTCATGATGACGTGGCATCACCAATCAAGATGTGATGGCACGTCATCATGCCGTGCCGCCCAGGGGCCGTGACCAGCGCTGCTCGCCCAGCAGCCACACCGCCCCTTCCTCGGATGCAGCCATGTCGTCCTCGTACATGGACTCGTCACCACGCAGCTCCTGCAGCAGCAGCAGCAGCAGCAGCAGCAGCAGCAGCAGCAGCAGCAGCAGCGGCAAGCACAGTCAGCGGTTGCACTGGTTGCAGCAGCCGCGTCTGCTTCATGCAAGGGCGCATTGATTTAGGTTTTAGGCGCCTGCAGCAGCAGCAGCATCCGGATCA